TTGAGATATAAAAAAGACTTCTTAGGGGCAGATTTCAGGGGGCTGTAATTCCGAAAGAGGGGGCCAGTTGGCAAAAAGAAAAAATACGGGTCCCCTAAATTTGTCTTAAGAATCTAGGACCAAATTTTGATGCATGAATTTCGGGACACCCCGTATAATGGCATACATGTGATACAATATTCTAAAGTGAACTGTAACCGTTAGGTGATGGATCTATAGATAAAAAACAAGATTTTTTTGTGTAACGACTAGTTTTAGAATTACCCTAAAAAAAACTGTTTTTTACATCTTATTAGTTAAACACATTTATTTAATTAATAAATTATTGAATGACATTCTGGTTGTCATATTTGTGAATTTTAGTTAGGTACTTGAACTATTAGCTCAAGTTCATTACTAGTGTGCCTTCATAAATGATTAGAGATCTTTTAATATCTCATGAGCCGCGAAATGCGCGAAAAGCGTGGCATATCCCCATAATTCTTCTAATAAGCACGTTGTGAAAACATTGACTCAGAACTAGACCATGTGCATCATTACAAGTAGACATGAACTAAGGCGCTCGGGCATCAATAAAGTCAACTGGCGAACGTTCGTTATATATATTTTTATTGTTTAAATTAAAATAATAAAGAATAGGGCATTTTATTATGATATTTGTAATCGGATCAAAGGCTTGTTTACGCTAGAGCCAGAGTGAGACTGTGAATAATAGGTGTAATGTTTTTAGGACGTAGAATAATTTAGGCGACGGTCGGAATTATGTTTCTGCGCATATGAAGGTCAAAGCTCATAAGATTTTAAAACATCTCTACAAGCCACATTAGACCAAGAGCCAGATAGAAAAATTTTCCTAATCGTTTTAGGCACCGTAAGAGAGTCTACGACTTAAATACTACAACCTAAAAGAAAACATTTGAGCACTATGCCGTCAATTCTCCGTGGCACAGGTTGTCAGCGGAAAAACAAACTTTCCAATTTTGGGCCGGGTAAATTAATTAAATAGAAATTGACGGCATTTCGACACAAGACATATATTAGAAAAATAAGACATATAAAAACCTTATGCCGTACAAAAATAACGGTTCTGGAAAGAATAAAAAATGTTAATTTTCTATTTTCACTAATGTAAAAATTATAGAAAACTGTACGGCGCGCCTGATTTTAAATAAATATATTTATTTGAAAGTTATATTTTACTATGCCGTACAAATGCACATGCTCTAAGGGCTTTTACCCTGAAAAACAACGGAGTAACAGACTGTCAAAGTTGACGGCCAATTGTTAAACAAATTAGGTTGGTAGCGGCAAAAAAATACTGTCATAACCGGCAACCCGAGTACTTTCCCAGGTAAAAATATTTTATTTGTGGAAGTATGTTAAGTGCATAAGAAATATTGTCAAAAGTCAGTGGGTCGCTTGATTTTCGGCGAGCCGTGGCGCGGAGGAAGGGTAGGGGAAGTGAACGACAGCGATTCCGAAGAAAATGACGATAATATTCATAGTCCTGCCGTCAAATAAGGGAAATTCGCTTGAAAATAATATATTTGACTACGTTATTTTTCAACGAATTTTGACGATCTTTTTTTAATTTAAAGCTCTTTTCATAAGCTTTCCGAATATGGAATTATATCACGCTCGTGCGTCGTATATTTCATTTTGCAACTAAGACTAAAAAATAAAAAAAATTCCAGGTTGCAAATTTGAAATTAAAAAAAAGATAGATTTCAATGTATTATTATGAAATCTACAATGAAAAAAATCATTGCGACTGTGGAAGATCCTCGGGATCGTCCAGACTAATAAATTAGTTAATTTCTTTATAAGGCCATAACTTGTAAATTATTCAACTTACGCATTCCAGATTTCGTGTGAGTTATTAGACAGTGATAAGAAATGAGAGGATGCAATGCCAAAACGTTCTGGAGTTCTGGTAACAATAACGCAGTTTATAAATGTTTAATAATTCAAAAGTCATAAATAAAATTCTTCTGTTTATAACTTTTGATCTAATCAATATTTTTTTATGCTGGAAGACTAGTTTTGTAGGTCTTTTGAAGACGAAAAAAAGCACTTTACTGTTTTCTCGTGGAAATGAACGGAAAAAAGTTATAATCGAAAAACATGAATTTACGTAAAAATTATACAATTAACCACCCTGTAAACAATCTTCCCTCCATTTTTATGACTGTGGAAACTAATATGTTATTGTACATAATATTTAGCATTTATAGTGATAAATTCAGCCTGCCGAAACAAAAAGTCGCGTCCAACTCTATATTTCCTGGACTAAATAATTGACTAGAGTGATTTGATTTAACTATCACAAAAGTGCATTGAATATTGACACCAACACAACTGGGACGACTTTAAACAATGATTTGAAACTGTTTTATAGATGTTTATAATTGAAAAATATTAATAAAGAAAATAAGAATTTATAAAATAATTCTGTCTCTAAATCATATCATCTTGACAATATAAATATGCCATTTCTAATAATTCTGTAAGGACATCAGACAGACTGGGAACAAAATAATTAGGTTTTGCTCATAAAATAATTTTTTTTTCAGTTCGCCAGTTCCCTCCTACCTCTCCGTTCGTGCTGGGAGTTCCACCCGCAACTCTGGCGGCCAAGTATACACGGTTGTGAAAGTGATAAGTCATCCGTCCTTCCTGACATCCACTCTCGACTACGACGTCGCCCTCCTCCAACTCTCCTCCTCTATTTCCACCACCAACGCCAGCGCCATCTCTTTGGCTGCTTCAGGAACTGGTCCAGCTGCGAACTTAACAGCCGTCGTAACCGGTTGGGGAGCTACCAGTGAAGGAGGTTCTGCGGCCACCACTCTTCAAGTGGTGGAGGTACCCGTCATCAGTCGAACGGATTGTGAGACAGCGTATCCTTTGAGACTTACCGACAGGATGTTTTGCGCCGGTATTTTGGGTGTTGGGGGCAAGGATGCTTGCCAGGGAGATTCTGGAGGACCGGTGGTGATCGACGGGCTCCTTTATGGGCTTGTCTCGTGGGGGGATGGTTGTGCTAGGGATGATGCTCCTGGGGTGTACACGAATCTCCAAGTCCTCAGGGACTGGATATCCACCAACAGTGGTGTATAACCACTGTTGGAATAGTAAAACACAATCTCTTTGATTTATAATTGTTAAGAATAAATTATTTAGTGATATCAATAAATTAGTAACATTACCTTCGAAAATTGCGCATTATTATTGCAGAAAGTGATGGATGTTGATGAAATTTATACAAAAGACTGTACATCCAATGACAAAGATGTGTGCCAAACACCGAATCAATTGACCGTGAAATTGTTGCTCCAGTTATTCGTTAATTAATTTCGTTCGTTTTTTTGCAACTAATTGTTTAATTACCAAACGTCAATATTACAAGTTAATATCGTAGTTCTAATTGATCCAAAGAAACGTATCGAAAAAGAAAAATTTCAAAGAGTTGAAATTAAGTTGCCCTTTACAATGAACAAAGCTAGTAGGACGTGTAAAAAAACAGCGTTATAAACAAATTATCCCAGGGTCAGGTAAAAGCAGCTCGGGAATTCGCTCTTTTTGCATTAAATAAAGTTTATTTTTAGGGTAATTAAAAAAAGGAGAATCACCTACGTCTCTTTGTTCCCAAGATAACTTTTTTTAAAATGTTAATTGCAATTAAAGGCAATTACAGGAAGCAATTAATTATTATTTAAATTTAGTGCATATTATTTTGTTACTGTTGAATATTTCTTAACAATATTACTGTGTACTTCTGAAAAGTTCTAGATAATATACGTGAATCAATGATTTATTTTATTAAAAGCTTCTAGAGGAAAACTAGAAATTAAGAATATTTCTATATCATTTCTTTTGATTATCAATTCTTTTAAGCATGGCAAAATCAAAAAAATTAAATGTTATTATTTTTTATAGAAAACGGAATCACTGTATCCTTATACACACAGAACAACTAAAATTTCTTTTCGATATATAGAACCACAAAACTAAGTGGTAAGCTACTATTTTTTAATTCTTCGTTGAGAAGGTAGCGGATGTTGAATTTTCGAAAAAAATGTTTAGATGATCTGGGAAAAGTTCTTATGCAAAGACAAACCTTTACACGCTGCCACCTATAACAAGAATATGAAAATATTTATATGGAAATAATTCCATTTAATGAAATCTGTAGATAGACACGCTCTTAAGCGGACTATTCCAAAAGCTTCCTAAAACTTTAACAATAGAATTACATTGATTGAAATATTTCAAGATGTCTCACCAGTCAACGAGAATTAGAAATATATAGGTAACTTGTTTCTGGCGTGATTTTGTCCTACGTTTTGTTTGTATTTGATTTGCAGATTGCAATCTTACTTTCGCTGACGTAATAAAGCTTTGGACATTGAAGTACAGATGGCAGAACAATGATGAGAAAACGAATTTAAAGAGTATAATGACTCAACTGATAATATTCTTCGGTGATTACTAAGGGTCCTATGACACTATACTAAAGTTAGAATTAATTTCAGTAATTAACTAAGAACTTTTCTAGCATAGTATCATACGGAAACTGCAACATTTTTTTTTGCAATTCGTGTATGATACTATGTAAGATTAAAAAGTTAATTACTGAAATTAGTTCTAATTTTAGCATAGTGTCATATGACCCTAAAACACTATAAATTAAAAAATGGGTAAAGGTAGTAAATAATTTCAATACATTTTTATTTTTAGTGATTTTATTTTACTGTGCTCGTTATATGTCAAAATTGAAATGACATGAAGTACTGAATTTCTTGCTGAGTATTTCGTGAATGATCTGTCACAAAGTTCCTATAAAAATGTTTTATACCTATGGTCCTACCTAATCCAATTTAAATAAATTGTGTCATATGGTGTTTGCTTAACGATTACACACTATCTTGCAAATATCTATTATTATTAAAGACATGAAAACAAAATTTTTTACGAAACCGACTGATTTTATTTCTCAGATGGATTATTCAAGGAATTGTATGCAGTAATTGATTCCTTTTGATGATTTTTATCGATTTACAATCAAATTTTATCGGCAAGGTGAATTCGAATTCAGTCATGTATCTTACGTACTTGTGAAATTATCGTGTGGACTAGTTAAAAAATATGAAGTATTTGGTAGTTTTGGGTCTAGTTGCCTTTGTTTTTGGTAAGTGCTTTATACAATTATTCTCCTTTTATGTGGGAGTCGGTTCCAGAGTTTTAACAATTTTCATTATTACTAATTTTAAGCATTTTTAATGGTTATCAGTGGTTTCGATTATTGAAAATGATTATTGTAAGTGTACAAAATATGTTGTTCTTTAATTTGGCCTTTAGTTTGTTCTTTCATGTCCTTGAGCAAAAGTAATAGTAAAATTTTAACGGTCGATAGAAGACTTCATTCTATAATGCACCATTTTCCAGATACAAAGCATTGAAATAAAAAAACTCATTTATTCAAATGTCTAACACATTTAATTTGTACTAATGTTTAAACTGACAAATTAGTCATGACTAATAATTTATTGACACACAAATCCATCAACCAGTGACGAAATTACGGGGAAGCACCGTCACTAATACCTCTGGAATGTCGACGAGGTACGAGGTCTGTTTAGAAAATAATCGAACTTTGTTTTTTTAAACCTTATTATTATTTTATGCACTATTGGTCGTTGTCTCCATTAGCGCGTAATTCAAAGAGTTCGGTTATTTTCTGAATAGGCTTCGTATTTCGGAAATTGGATAAGTGTATATATGTAATTTATTTAGAAATTACAATATCCAACGGGGCAAAGTCGCAATTACAGGATAAGGTAAAACAGAAATCCTTAACTAAACTTTAAAAGAAAAAGACAAACTAACATTAAATATAAAAATATAAATTCTACATAAAATAGAGCAATCAAAATATAAAATCCAAAGAGCTTAAGGATAAACAATAACAGACAAATAAAACAAATAAGCTAACTAACATATACAAGATAAGGATTACATTTACGAGACAAACAATTTTTTTATGTCATTCATAAAATGAAAAAATATATAAAGTCGATCTTCATACTTCTGCTAATTGGAAATTATTTGATATAGGCAGGGGAGATGCTATTAGTAAATTGGTATGAGGTGTGGGTAATTGTAAAATTAAGTCTAGGAACATGATATAAAATCCTTGAGACTAACGAGTCTGCATTTAACATGTTATTTATGATTTTAAAAAGGAATATGATTGAAAACATAATTCGCCTGCGACAGAGACTATTAAAATTAAAACAAGAAAGCAATAAATCCTGAGGTGTACCACGAAAAGGATAAAAGCCATAACTAATAAAATGAATACTCTTTAAAAATCTCCGGTGTATTTTCTCTAATTGAATATTATAAATATTATAAATGGAACTCCAAACAACCGATGCATATTCAAGTTTGCAACGCACAAATGCTGCATACAATATATTTAGAACCTTTATATTCTGAAAGACCTTAGAATTAAACAAAATAAAATCTAAATTCTTGTAAGCAGATCTGGTTACTAAACTAATGTGATCGTCAAACGATAATCTGATATCGAAAGTAACACCAAGGTCAGTAAATTGCGTAACTCTATTTAAAAAAGATTCACCAATCAAAATCTAGATTAGTTTTGCGTCGACTGGAAGTCATAAATTTACATTTACTTACATTCAGAGGTAGATTATTATTAAATTATTAATTAAATTATTAACACCAATTGTGCAATCTGTCAAGATTATCTTGTAATGTAGTACAGTCAGTCAGTATAGGATTTAACTTCCAAGAATCGATGTATTCAGTCAAGTCATTAATAAAAATAATAATAATTTACATGATTGAAAGCCTCGATACTGCATAAAATAGGAATTTAAACAGAGATAATAAAGCAGGGGATATACCATATGACTCCAATTTCAAAATTAATAAATTATGATCAAGCCGATCGAAAGCTTTGAAAAAATCGGTATACACAAGATCAACCTGACTTCCTGCATTCAAAGCAATAAATTGAGTTTTCTCAATTAGATTTAGGTAGTTCAACGACCACTCATAAAACCATGTTGGTACCCAGATATACACCGTGTCCACCTAGTGCGCGTAAGTCCAATATCTAGGTTAATAAAAGATATAACTTAATTTTTTTTCTACAGAGTTGCCTACTTTCCCGAGCTGCACAATGCACATGAAAATATATTTACATATACAGGGTGTTCAGTTTTTCCTGGGTAGGTACCAACTAAATTTTTTTTAAATGGAAACCTATATTTTTTATGGCATTATCGAATTCTACGTGAAAAATTAACGGGTCTTTGTATTATGATCCCTATTAAAAGTTTTCGAGATAATCGGCTTTTCATTTTTTTCTTATGTTTTGTTACGTCTAGTAGTTGACATAATTATGATTGTATGACAGCTAGAATTTTTTTTTTCAGGAACTGTAGAGTGAAGGTGGCTCTTTCAAAAAACGTATCAAAAGTTGACCTGCGATATACAGTGGGCAAAAAAATCGTGCCAAACTTGATAATTTAAAATTTGAAAAATCTCGACTTTTTCAAGTAGAACATCCTGTGTTTTATGATTTCATTAGATGCCTTTATATAGATCCTTCAATTTTTTAATAGCTTTCCTTATACCTAAGTTGAATACTTTTTTCAAAAAAACCATTTTTATGTAACATACCGGATTTGCGCCCGTTCCTTTATCGTGAAAAATATTGTAAGGGTATTTATTTTTATTAAATTTATTAGTTGTCTAGCTACACTTTTTAAAATAAAAATTAATAACTGAAAAATTTAGATATTTGAGTTTAATAAATAAGTCTTTATGAAAAGTTACCACTTATTTGGAAATAAAATCAAAAAAAAAAAAATAAAATCGCTACAAGTGATTAAGAATTAGCAAAATATGGGAAATGTTTGCTAGCAGCACGTATTTACAAAGCAAATAATCCAAATTTACAGAGATTCCCACTGTTTTCAAAATGTGAAGGAAAGGTTTGAATGAACAGCAAATGCGAATTATGAGAAAACTACCAGGAGAATGAAAGTAACAACGATAATATTTAGTTTAAAGTTGTGGCGTCTGCTGTTGAAAATCCAAATAGTAGTAACCTTGGAGTTTTCGAAAGCTTGACAAATAAAATATTGAAGAAGAAGTTTCATCCGTATCATATTGAAAATCAAGTACTGTTACCGTAGTTAGGAAAGTTATTAGTGAAATTGGGAAATTTGGATGAATAGAATTTTGAAAAAAGAATACTCATAGTCGCAAGCTAACTTAAAATAAATACCCTTACAATATTTTTCCCACCAAAGGAACGGGCGCAAATCCCGTATTTTACATAAAAATGTTTTTTTTTGCAAAAACTACCCAACTTAAGGATAGGGAAAACTATTAAAGAAATGTAGGGTCTACAGAAAGGCATCTAATGAAATCATAAAACACAGGGTGTCCTATTTGAAAAAGTCGAGATTTTTCAAATTTTAAATTATCAGGTTTGGCACGATTTTTTTTGTCCGCTATATATCGCAGGTCAACTTTTGATACATTTTTTGAAAGAGCCATCCTCACTCTACAGTTCCTCAAAAACTACAAGTGACGAAACAAGAAAAAAAAAATGAAATGTCGATTATATCGAAAACTATCAATATTTTAATAGGGATCATAACACAAAGTCCCGTTAATTTTTCAAGTAGAATTTGATAATTCTATAAACAATATAGGTTTTCATTTAAAAAAATTAAGTTGGTACCTGCCCAGAAAAATCTGAACACCCTATATAAGCAAATATATTTTCATTTTGTGCAGCTCGGGAAGTAGGCAACTGTAGAAAAAAAAAGTTATATCTTTTAGTAACCTAGATGTTGGACTTACGCGCACTAGGTGGACAGATTTTTCAATATGAAAATAAAGTCGATGGTGTAAAATTATTTCTAAGCTTTTTGAGAATTTACTTATAATAATTTTCAAGTCATTCAAATTCAAATCATTGTCAGTTCTTTGATTTGTTTTGAATAGAAATATAGTATATGTTTCGTGTACACTTCTACAAATATAAACTTTCTTTAGGACAAGAAGCAAGCGTACCAAAATTAGATGGCAGAATTGTGGGCGGTGAAGCTACAAGTATTGCAACTTATCCATACCAGATATCTCTACAGTTACTGAGTACCCATATTTGCGGCGGTGCCATCATATCTAGCAGCTGGATTATTACAGCTGCGCACTGTGTCGTGAAGTAAGTTTATATTTATCTGTATCTGAGAAAACTGTGCGCAATTTAGGTGGAATTATTCGGTATGTGAACAAGCAAAACTGTCGAATTTGAGGCAAAGACAATTGTCGAGTTATTTAAGACTGACCACCACTCAAAGAGTGATAGTGTGGTGTAGATTACACTGGTAGGGTGATTGGTCTGTTCTTTTTTTAAAATATGGTTGGAAACGCAGTGTCTGTTAATGGAGAACGATATCGAGAGATGCTATCGAACTTTTTCTGGATTCATTTGTATGGCACGGACATGCAGTTTCAGCAGAGTTATGCCACTTACTTGTTAAGGAGGAGGGTAGCTAAGGCCGGTTTTCGGACTATTTTAATTTTGGACTTAAAAAAATCATTTCTTTATCATCTGCTATCAATATTCAATTAATTTCACCCAAAACGGAACCTCCCCCCACTTGCACATAACTCTTCTAATAAAGTGACTTTCAGTGAATTTCACGTAGAATGCGAACACGCAATAACATATAGGGTGTCCCCTTTAAAATAACGAAGTTGGTGTCGACTTCCGGTATAACCGGAAGCGATGGAGAGTTCTATATATTTTAGTTGTGTTCGTCCCAGCGACATTGTCACGTTTCCAAATTTTCAAATTTTGCGGAGAAGTACTTTCCTAGATATCGATCGACGCAGTTTCCGTTGGGACACCCTGTATTACTGGCTTAATACTCCAGTCATTCTGTCGAAAAATAAGGAGAAGAAAAGAAAGTGAACCGGGAAAGCCAAATTTTTTATATGTAGTGGGTGTGCTTAGAAAAGCTTAACTTGAGATTTGAGACCAAGATTTCCTGTGTGCATTTTCCGTCATCTTGGAAAAGGGGTGAATTTTTGTTTTTGCTCGGTTCCCCGTCGAGATACAGAATTGTTGTTTTATTGGTTTTTGTTCCTCTTTCGACGACCTACAATTTAGGTCCTATAAACTTTGCACCAATTATTGTTAGTTGTTAAGATATCGAACAAAATTGATAAAAATTCAGATTCGATCTGGTTTTTCGGGTTTTTCTCTTTTTCCTTAATACTTATCGAAATCATGTCTATTATAAAACTTGTAGGAGGTGTTTGTATGAACAATTTGGTGACTTTGTTTTTTCTCTAGGGTGATAATTGCGTGTTTTATCGCTCCGCGAAATCGGCAAGTCCGTGCGAAGTTTCGATTTTTCCGTCCGCGCGCCGCCAACTTGAAGAAAGCGGTAAGTTATGATTTTCGCGATAACTCGGTTCTCCGTCGAGATAGAGATTTGTTATTTATTTGTGTTATTTTTTGTTTCTCTTCCGACGATCTACAATTTAAGTCCTATAAACTTTTCAACTATCATTATTACTTGTTGAGATATATAACAAAATAGATACAACTTCAAAGATTCGATCTGGTTTTTCTGGGTTTTCTCTTTTTCCTTAATACTTATCGAAAAAAGTATATTACCAAACTTGTATTTGATATTTGTACGAACAGTTTAATAGTTTTGTTCTTTCTCTAGGGTACTAATTGCGGGTTCTATCGTGTCGCGATGTCGACAAGTCCGTGCGAAGTTTTTATTTTATAGCTCGCGCGGTTTTATAGGTACGTTGTAATGGATTCGAAATAAAGAACTAACACGGTAAGATTATTTTCACACGTATGAAATTTATTATACAATAACGTTTTCGTATTGATGAAGTATCTACGTCTTCCTTCGCTTCGACGGCCCTGGTTCACAGTCCCTCTGTTGAGGATAATTTTCGATACGTAGAGATTCTTCGACCATATTTTCTCCGACTGTTGAATCATCTTCCGAATCTAATTTATTGTCACAGATCAGGACATCGACTTTCGCAACGTCTACTGCAGTTCAGGCAAATTATTGAACATGCAATGCCAGCTCTTCTGCACCCATAAGCAGTTCCGCAATTTTCCTTGCATTTGCAAGACATTAGCTTCAAAAACTCGGGTGGCGCAGGTTCAACCGTATTAATAATAATCGGCTCTAGATCATGGTCCGTTCGTCATCAATCCCATTCCTCCGGATCCTTGGAAAACCCAAGCCAAGTTTGTACCTGATGATACGTGCGGAATATGTGTTATCGTGCTACGCTTCTTGTTGGTGGGAGTGTTGGTGGGAGTGATGATGATAGGTTGAATCTATTTCTGGTGATAGATTTTGCGTAGCGGTTATATCGTAGCGCATTGATGTTTTTGCTGTGCTTCTCACCGCCATATTAAATAATAATGAGAAATCGTTCTCCCGTGGATGTCAGATCCTCCGGATCAACATGTTCTTGTTTGAATAAATCAACCGATGATAGGAGTTCCGTATATGTTTTTCCAATATGCTGATGAATTTCGTTTTGCCAATGCTGAACAAAGATGAGGTGGTATCGCAAGCGTTGAATGCATGAATGAAAAATATGTTTTCGAGAACGGATTTATTATGCTTCATACTAGTTGGAGAGTAAAGTGTTCCTGGTGTATTTCCTTTCCCGATTTTCGAAAGTATACATTTCTTTTGTCTTTCGCTAGTCCAGTGAGCAAAATCAAGAGATCGACGTCTTCGCCGACGATTTCAACCGAATCGTACTTTGATGCTTCTACGAGTGCGGTGGTTACGATCAGAGTGTCCGCATCTTCAAAGGCTTGTTTGACTCTGATTTCGGTTTGTATAAAATGAAGGCGGAGCATTTTTATAAAGTTGTCTTTGTTCTTGTTTTTTATCTATTTAGTTCGATATCTCAACAACTAAGAATAATAGGTGAACAGTTTATAGGACCTAAATTGTAGATCGTCGAAAGAGGAACATAAAACAACAAAACAACAATTCTGTATCTTGACGGAGAACCGAGTTATAGCAAAAACAAAAATTCACCCCTTTTCCAAGATGGCGGAAAATGCACATAGGAAATCTTGGTCTCAAATCTCAAGTTAAGCTTTTCTAAGCACCTCCCACAACATATAAAAAATTTGGCTTTCCCAGTTCACTTTCTTTTCCAAATGTACAGAATGACTGGACTATAATTAATTCTTGAATAACAAAAATTTTCGTTGCATTATGAGACTGAAACCCTAAAGGTCTTGCCCCATTAGACTCTAGATTAATGGAATTATTCAATTTACGGCTATTATTTGCCTCAAACCAGTAACCTCTCTTTCCTTCATCTTAGGAAGATTTTCGCAACGTCTTTTGATCAAATATTAGTAATTTCCGTAGATGTCTGTGCTTTATCTCACAGCAAACTTTTCTAGGATTTAAATTATTAGAATTGGTACCATTTGACGATAAACATCGCGAAAGCATAATTTTTGTTTATCAGCTTATAAATATCGCCTCTTTTAGAAATATCAGATGTGAAAAGTATTTATTTAATTTGTAAAATATTCAGTGGCATTATTTTTCTTGTTATTTCGTTGTTCATATCATTATATAGCTATTTACATTTACTTATAATTATAAGTCACGTGGCAAGTAATTTTAATTAGAACAGTAAATAACATAGTTTCACGGGCTGGTATTGGAATAATTCTTCACGACATTTCATTAAACAAATCAGCGATCGCATTATCTGGAGCATAGGCGCAACGGTTTGACTGTTAATTGCAAACGAATTACCATAGACTACCTAGACTGGCTATAGGGCGATTATGATGAAGGCAATTGGGAGCCAAGTCGGTAGCCCAACATCAGTCGTATCTGGAAACTTGAGCTATACGTGTCGCTTTGATTTCAATAATTAGTTATTTTTTCATGGGCAAATGTATTGTAGGACATTGTATAAATAGAAGTGAAAAAGTTGGTGAAGAGAGCCGAAAAGTTTCCTTCTATAGATAAGTAAAATAAGCAATATATAAAACGTAAATTTGAGACTATATACGCCATTTCTTGGTTAAGGTCAGAGTATTCCACGGTTGACTTTATAATTTTGTTCGCACACATACTGCAATGGTAAACGTGATATTATTCTAAATTGTTAATAAAATAATGAATAAATGATTGTAACATATTTTTAATAATTATTATTTACTCTACGTAAAAGGCTACAATTTATATAAAATTTTTCCAATTTCCGTAATTTTGAGGGAGTTGAAAATGAATGTGATTATTTTTTGCGATCGAAAAAATAACAAAAAATTAATTTCAAATTCATGTTCAGCACCCTGGAAAAGGGGGATTGGTAAAATTTGATTAGAAAAATCAGAGTTTTATGGTAAAATGAATAATTACCAAATTTTTATACTTGCTTCGATTTTTCGAATCTAATATTTTAACTTTTACAGATTTCAAAAGGATGCTGACATAAAGTACAGATAGGTGAAAGCTTTTAAAGAACAGGATTGGATATCATCAAAATTTTCACATATATGTTCACGTAAAATCGCTTTGAAGAAAATTTTTTAATTTTCAACAAAAATGTACTCCTCAAATTAGCAAAAAATGCAGTTCCCACTTTAAATCTACCAGAAATAGCTACAGAAAGCTACAGAAAAATAAAATTGTGTATCATGTTTTAAAAAACTCTTTGAATGTGAACATATTTGAAAATTTGCATGAACATCAATTTGATAATTTCCCTAACAATTGTAATCATTTAATAGAACTTGTAAGGGCTGTTTGTGAAAAGTGTATTGATGTGAGAAAAATCATGAAGTCAAAATATTTATTTCAGTAAAATATATGAAAAGGCAAATATAAAATAAACTAACATTACTTAAAGGACAATAAATATATTTAAATTATTTTGTAGGTTTATTTAATATAAACAAGACATTAAAATTTATTATTTTCTGAATTCCAAACTTGAAAAATGAATATTTGCCGTAAGTGTAAAAATATTGTTTAATCCGGACCTGTAGTATACACTCTACGATATGCGCAGTCAGGTTACCTTGCACACTCCACTTCCCCGCAATTTGCATTCACTCGTACCCTTGCATTGGTATTAGATACAGTCAGTCTAGGTGGTCCATGCGAATTTCTAATACTGATGACAGTGACAATCGTGCAATGTTGTCGGTCACGTGTCTCATGATCATTTATGAATGTTCTGCATTTCTTCATCGTTTAATTCGATTTTCTTCGTGTTGAATGAATTAAATTAAATATAGTAATAGAGAAATATCCTCTCTACATGGATTACTTTGGGGTATTTTACTCATTAAGTCAGAGTCAGTCATATCGATTAGTTATAATTGACTAGAGCGACTTGATTTAAATATTAACTTTACAAAAATGCATTGAATATTGGCACTAACACGCAACTAGGATAACTTTAAACAATGATTTGAAACTGTTTTGTAGAAGTTTATCATTGGAAAATACTAATTAAAAACAAAATAATTAGGTTTTGCTCATAAAATCTATTTAATTTTTCAGTGCGCCAGTTCCCTCCTATCTGTCCGTTCGTGCTGGGAGTTCCATCCGCAACTCTGGCGGTCAAGTATACTCAGTTGTGAAAGTGGTAAGTCATCCGTCTTACGTGTCGACCAGTCACGACTACGACGTCGCCCTCCTCCAAGTCTCCTCCTCTATTTCCACCACCAACGCCAACGTCATCTCTTTGGCTGCTTCAGGAACTGGTCCAGCAGCGAACTTAACAGCCGTCGTAACCGGTTGGGGCGCTACTAGCGAAGGAGGTTCTGCGGCCACCACTCTTCAAGTGGTGCGGGTACCCGTCATTAGTAGAACGGATTGTGACACTGCATATCCTCTGCAACTCACCGACAGGATGTTTTGCGCCGGTATTTTGGGTGTTGGCGGCAAGGATGCTTGCCAGGGAGATTCTGGAGGACCGGTGGTGATCGACGAGGTTCTTTATGGACTTGTCTCGTGGGGGGATGGTTGTGCTAGGGATGATGCTCCTGGGGTGTACACGAATCTCCAAGTTCTCAGGGACTGGATATCCATCAACAGTGGTGTATAACCACTTTTGGGATAGTAAAACACAATCTCTTTGATTTATAATTGTTTAGAATAAATTATTTAGTGATATCAATAAATTAGTAACATTACCGTCATGTTTAATTATGAACGAATTTTGAAAGTCATCTACATCACTATAATAGCTGTGAAACATTTTTAACTTTAATTATAGCATGTTATTTATAGTATCGTTTCTTTAGCACCCGTTACGAAAATCTACTCATTCAGCCCGAGTATGTATTCCATTTACACTAAAACGTTATGTTAGAAACAACGTTTGTAAATAACGTGCCGCTAGTTTATGTTGTACGTAGGTACCTGTTATTTGCGCTCCACGTTGTATTTGTTTCATGTTTCATAACCTATAAGAACTCTTTTAGTTGTATGTGTTTTTGTCTATTGAGTCGGGTATTTGTAATAATTCTGCATTATTATTATTAAAAATATGTCAGTGAAATACATTCTCAAAGTCGTCTTGGAATAAAACAGCATGCAAAATTACTTCTTATAAGAAAACAAATGTTTCATTAGTGATTTCGTGTTTGGGGGTCGCTACCCTTATTTTTTATTTCAAAAAAACTATATTTTTCATTTTTTATATATACAAAATTCATATTTGTTAAAAAAAATAAAAATATAACTTATGTAAACAAATTGGCAAAATTAAGTTCTCGAACAACCCCCTAGTGAGCGAAAAATATCTATACGATTAGAATTAACATTACAAAAAAAAAGTTTTTACTTTTTCTCTAATCATACGAATAATTTGTTCTATTAGCCTAAAACGGATTTAAACGGATGCAAACTACCCCTAATGTTCACCCCAAAACAGTATTTCTGTGACATCTCGGGTTCTAATCAATATTTTGGAATGAAACCAAGTGGCAATTACTTCTTATAAAAAAAAACAGATATTTCACAAATAATTTTTTCTATTGGTCTAAAACGGATTTAAACTAATGCAAACTGATGTTCATCCCTCAAAAACGGATTCGGTAATTTCCATTTTGTATCATTCTAAAATATTTATTAGAATCCGAGATATCACGGATATACTGTTTTTGGGGGTGAACATCAAGGGTAGTTTGCATCTGTTTAAATCTGTTTTAGATCAAGAGAAAAAATTATTCGTAAGATTATATAAAAAGTAGGTAAAGACATTTTTCGCACACTAGGGGATTACTAGGGGGTTGTTCGCTCCCTAAAATGAAAGATTATTTTTGTCAATTTGTTTACATAAATCATATTTTTAATATTTTGAATCAATATGAATTTTTTATATATAAAAAATGTTTGAAAATATACTTAGTTTTCCTGAAATAAAAAATACGGGTTGCAACCCCCAAACACGAAATCACTTGTGAAACATTTTATTTTTTTAAAAGAAGTAATTTCTATTTTATTTCATTTCAAAATATTGAGATGTCACAGAAATACTGTTTTTGGGGGGTGAACATGAGGGGTAGTTTGCATCCGTTTAAATCTGTTTGCTGCTAATAGAACAAATTATTTGTAGGATTAGAGAAAAACCAAAAAACTTTTTATTTTGCAATGTTAATTCTAATCGTACAGACATTTTTAGCACACTAGAGGGTTGCTCACCCCCTAATAAGAGGACTTAATTTTCTCAATTTGTTTACATAAATTATATTTTTTATTTTTTTAACAAATATGAATTTTTTTATATATAAAAAATGTTTGCAAAATATAGTTTTTCTGAAATAAAAAATAAGGGTAGCAACCTCCAAACACGGAATCTAATGTGAAACATTTGATTTTTTTATAAGAAGCAATTTACATTTTTTTTCATTCCAAAATATTGATTAGAACCCCAGATATTTAGAAAATAACTGTTTTGGGGGGGCGAACTTTGAGGATGTGTTTCACTCCCTAAATATGTTTTTCCGTCGATAAAAAAAATATGTCATTTAATTTTTTATGTTCTACAACCGAGTCTACAACATATAAAAATATTGGAAATCGGAGAGTTCGGGTTGGGGTAGTTTCCTTGTTAAATCCTTCTTCGTTTGATTTAACCTAACAATAATTTTAGGGTAAATACTTACCTAAGTTACATAAATTTTACAATTTACTTTCGATGTACGTTTATAAAACCGGCAAGTAAATGTAAATTCAACAAGCCGTTCATTTTCATTAGATAAATAACACGTACGTTAAACTATAGCGACACCAAATTCCTTGCCTTTAAGAAATTCTGTTATAATTTAAGATAACGTGTTACAAACTATTTTATGTCGTACTTACCCGTTATTTACGAGTTTGCATTTGTTTCATGTTTCATAACCTAAAAGACATCTGTCAGTTATATGTGTTTTTGTCTAATACTGACTCTTGTTTATAATAATTTTGCATAATTATTATTAAAAATGTCGACACAAAAGCGTCTTCAAAAAACAACAAAATTGCAATACGAGTATTTGCTAAAAATGGTCTTAATTCCCCAATAACGTGCACGTTATATCTTAACAGTTAACGTTAACCTTAAAGTTAACCTTAACGTTTAACCCCGAAATAACATAACTGTTATTATGATAAAATGGGATACATACTCGGCCTGAATGACTGCCTAAAAATAATGTGTTTGGTTTTAAGATCAGACCTATCATTTCTTATAGTCTTTGATGTGCTGGAACCAAATTTGAAGAGAAAAAAAGTTTTCATCGTTTAGATTATTTGCAATTAGAGGGAGAAGTCTCTTCTAGAGACTGTTCCAATTAAAACTCTCCATCTGGAAAATATAGAAATTAAAAAAAAAATCAAAAAAGCTGATACGTGATGACGTAAGTGTGTTGTCTTGGAAGCTACCTTTTTGGCAGGGGCGTAAAATACCTTTAAACTTTAAATAGCACCCTATGTTGAGTAACACTTGTTTTTAAAGCTTTTTCAGTTCTGGTCACGACGATATAAGACTTTTTAAATTTTGGTTTGGATATGACAATACAATCATCACTTAAAGAATAAGACAAAATACCAGTAAATGAAAGAATGTTATTTTAGTAAGTGTTCAAATTGGTTTCACTCCGCTTCCATACAATAATAAAATCTTTGCTCCACGTCCGAACGAACATTTCGAGGCATTTCGGGCGTTATCTAACGACATTCTTCAACAATTTCTCGATAAAAAAAAATTGTTTTGATTTTTCGTTTATCTGTCAATACAAAAATTTCATACTCTATGAATTCTACTTTTTTACATGTTTTACTTTAAACGAGACAATATTGTCTCGTTTTGTCTTATAGAGACAATATACCGTAAAATCATCGCAAAATCGATTGAATACCAATTCGTGAAAATAGTTTATACAATTGCTGAAAAAGTGGATATAATTAGTTTGTTCTACAAGAATAATGACTGTGCGCGGCAGGCATCACAGATTTTTAATCATCGCCATCCTGACAACAACACTTCGCGTTTTCGGAAACTAGATCGGTTGCAAACAGAAATCATCAATGTGGACAGGTCGTACGTAATGAGGATAATCAGGTAACTGTACTAATGTACTTGGTCACATCGCAATGGAACCTAATTTGGGTTGTAGTGTTTATTTTAAAAGTTCAAACGACAAAGTGCGAACGGTAGCTCTTATAGCGCTGTCAGATGGAAGTGGGTCGGTTCTAATCTTTGATTTCAGCATATAAATTTGCCAGCTTGAAAAAAGCGTTATAGAGGATATAAAAGATAGAAGGGCGCCAGCCTACAAAAAATAAGCTAAAACAACCCCCTAACGGTCTCCTCACACTGTAGGTAGGTAGGGATTTGGAGTAAAATAAAAAGAGCACAAATAAAATTCACCAATATATTTCTCACACGATGTCCAGGAGTTTTACGGTGTCCTGGTGTCTTGGACTTGAAAACTCAAATCTGGAGACCAAGGGTCGACTTACTTCTCTTCCAGGTTACCATAAAGTTTTTTCAAACGCGGGACTCAAATATGCAGTGACTTTATAATCTTTAGCTCCTTAATCTTCGCTAAATTTAACTTTACAAAAGTATTTAAGTGACTGAAACGAATCCTAATCAATATTTCGTCATACTTTAACGAAACTTAAAATTTGAGACTTCTCAAAACAAAGAACCTTTTAGGCCTTTCAAAAACTTTCAAAACTTTTACATATATAACTGTTCTTAAAAACTTTTTTTAGAAAAACTTTTCTAAACTGAAATCTTTTAATAAACTCTTAAAACTTTTCTGGTAAGCTCTGGTGAGAGAAAAAAGAAGAAACAAAATTCAATTAGCACGTGGTTGCACAGCACTGAAGATCATACAAAAACATAAGCAAAATCTAAATGGTTAACAAGGCTAGAATCTTCTGGATTGAATTTATGAGAAAACTAGAAATTTAAATACTTAATTAATTACCTTTTCGATGTATTTCGACGTTCACAAGTGATTTTTTATTGAATCGAATCTAAAAAAAACTCAAACTATATGATTGGCCGTTTGGACGAAATAAATTTCAGACTGGGCAATTGCTATTTAATCATCACTGAATGGGTTCTAACATTGACTATAGCCTAGGTCCAAACTACAAACTATCTAGTCCGCTAACCGTGTCTATGATTCGATGGTGACAAATAAATAACCTTCAATGCATGACATCCAAGTAACCTAACTAATGTGCTCCAGATTTGGTTTACAAATAAACAATAATAAAAGGAAATAATACAATTAAAAGCGGTATAGTTAAAATTATACAATTACAGAAATCATTACGATTCATACCTACCTAAAGATTCTCCATGTTTATAACAGGTAAATAGTAAACATTTGTTGCACATAGTTAATTACATCGGTGTTCTGTAACTAATTGCAGGGTGTGACATAGATTTACATGCTATATCAACAATACAGCAGTATGGAAACAAAACTAACTAGTAGTGATAACAAAGTTGGATTTTTATATAAAGATCTCAAGAAGCTGTTTAATTGTTGAGTTATTGTTAAAATAAACAGTGACATTCAGTGTACAGATAGTGAATGTTACACTGTAGTGTTTCTTAAGAATAGCCTAACCTGACAACTATGGCCAACCAAGGTTTGTCTGACCATAGAAGTGGAAAAACTTGTTAGGGCTTTTAAGGATGGTTTCCAAAGGTTTGCCGCATGGTTAGGTTGTCACTACTTAGGTCTGGTTAGGCTATTCTTAAGAAAATACTACATACTTCAGATTTTTTAATAGAATTGTGTTGTACTCTTCTTGCCCTTGGAAGGGCAGAGTGTCCTTTTTTGCCATCGGATTTGTGTTGCCCAAAAATACATTGGAAAATACACCTAATTCTTCTGTTTTCAATATAATTATGTTAATTATGTTTTTGCATTTACCCCCCCCCCCTATTTTGTCCGAAGAAGGGCTGTCCGTCAAGTTTGGACATCAGATTCGTGTTCAGCACACAAAAATACATAGGAAATCAGTCATCTATGTTAAAATCGAGATAGAGTCTGTTAATTCGATAGAGTGGATTGTATAAACTCGTTCTGATGTGAATACTTTTTCTTTATTTCCTGAATGTTATACAATTGGATAAAAATATTAATAGAATTGACAAACAACGTATTTTATTTTTCACAAACTTTTTCATTGTTTTTCTTGTTGCTCTGCAACCGTCTCTATACAAACCTAAGTAGATTATATAGAATGTACTGACATACAAAATACTTTACCAGAGTCGGTATTCTTCATATACTAAAGGTAGTTATGAGATAACTGCATATTCAATATAGAAGAACTTGTCCCTGCTATTACAAAAAATCTATACTATATAAAAATTATTTTACTCTTCAACATTGGTGTCAGTATTTCAAAATATATACGAAATGAAAGGTCGGCTTGTGTAATTCATCGGTTTAGTCGTTCGAACAATACTAGAAAAATCGATATAGTTTATGAAGACATGTACCATTTCATATGAGAATTTGCAGCAACGTGAAGTTTAATTAAATTAGAATACCTCCGAATAGATGTTACCATAATAATTTTAATGACTTGTAAAAAATATACCTTCTTTACGTTTTATACAATCATCTATGTTTTTCTGAAATCCGTATTAATAAAAATAAGCGACTGTTTCGGCTTCCTCTAAAACTTTGCATCAAAAAAGTTATTTGAAAAGATTTAAAGGCAGTAAAATTATACTAAGGTAACTTGACTTGAATTTTAAATCAAGTTAGATTAGATTTACTGCAATGTATTTCTAAATAAATTCGAAGGTAACTTGACCTACGTGTGTCCATATTCAAATAAAAAATAAAAATTAACAAGTAAAGCATATATCGATTTGAATATTTCTACCGTATATTGAATTTATATATAGGTAGTCACTTTTTTAGGAATTTTCGAATTTGTTTAAGGTATCACAAAATCATTTGTTGCTTTTTATTCCTTTGACAAGTGAGCACATATTTTTATGATACATATATATTTTTTTAAGAGATGGATTAATAATAATCTTGCAATAAAACTTTATCGATGCTGTGCTGATGTGGTAGCTGACGATATAATTATTACACTTAATCTTATATCTAATGTGAATAAACGTTAGTGAATCTTCTGACCTAGTTCCGAGCAATGATGAGGTTGCTGATATTTTTGGTCATAGTTTGTTCTTCTTTTGGTAAGTTTTGTTGTAGGTTTTCGTGAAATCTAGGCGAAATATGATCTTTTATTATAAATAAGATAACGTAGCGTACCTAATAATTAATTAAGTTAGCTTATCATATCTTCTGATAAGTAGAACCACTTAACCTACGTCTTCTATTAAGAAAACACTTGTTTCTGTTGCAATAATTGAAATGAAAAGCGTAAGCGTAAGATAGTTGTGTCTACAGGATGTCCGAAAACGAATTAGCCAAAATTCAAGGTTGGATGAAAATAAACGTTTTAGATCAAGTTATCTTAGTCTAATTTTAATTCCTTTCATTTATCCAAGTTCTACTGTGATACAGCTTTCTGAATATATTTTGACGAAACAACTTTTACAGACCCTCAGTTGGCGCTGGCTTATGTATAGTTAATTTAAATATGGTAGTTTCCATATGGATTCAACGAGCAAAAAATCAACTTCTTCGATTTTTTTTTAAACTTTGGAACTTTGAATTTTATGAGACTTGTGTTTTTTGTTTTTCCGAAAAAAAAATTTGAAGCTCTGTAGAGTCATGTTAAAATTTTCATCGTGGCAGTGTTATTCCGAATATGAAAATGATATGCTTTTTTTCGAAATGTGCAGAATTTCATCACTTTTTAACTGTTTTTTTAAGAATTCAAATTTGTTTTTTGAAAACTGATTCTCTCAAAAAACTCCACCTTTTATTTTCACCTTTGGATATGTTTTTCCGATAATTTTGTCCAATTAAATGGGCCTTTAAATCGCAATTTTGGTCAACTGAATTTTTTATATAAGTTAGTTTGAGGTATATAATAAGTGACAGTCATTTTTTTACCCTCAGCCAGGGGTGAATAATTGTAAAATAAAGGGTTTTTTTCAAGATACTTAACTTAAAGTAAGGGCTTTAGTAAGGATGTAGTAAGTAGTAAGTAAGGATGATTACAGAAATTTAAAAAATTGCAATTTAAATGCAGAAAAATTATTGAATTTTCTATACAGGGTGATTCATTAATAATGGGAAAGTCGAAAGTTGTAGATACTACACGTGTAATGGTGACGATTGGCGCAAACGTGCTTTATCCGAAAGTTAATAGTTTCGGATATACAGGGTGTTGAAAGTTAAAATTTTAAATCGTTTTTTTGCGATTATTCTGAAAATATGTAGGTTAGGAACTTGAAAATTTGTGAAACTATATTTTTTAGGCGACAAATATGATGCGTGTTGTAATTTCATAGAGGGCACCACTCACGGCCAATTTTACCGAAAATTTAGTTAATAACTTTTTACCCTGTATGTCTAACATGAAAGTTGATTCAAAACCTGAAAGAGCTATAATTTTTCCATTAATTATGTACTCTTGTTTCATTTCGGTATCTCGATCCGTTTTCGAGAAAAATCGATTTAACGAACACTATGTTTTGATAATATGAGAAATTAAAAGCGAAACAAACCAAGTGTTTCTTCGTGTTATTACAACAATTAACAATAAAACAAATGAAATTCGTAATAATGATTTAAAGTCAGTGTTCGAAGAATCCACCGTTGACATTTACACACTTTACACAACGTTTTCTGAGAGATCTTCGAGTTTGAAACAACATATTGGGATTGCGTTTGACTTCGTTGGCAGCGATTTGTATTCTTTGCCATAACTCTACACACGAGCCAATAGATTCTTTGTAAATTATATCTTTCATTCGAGACCAAATAGAAAAATCAAGAGGATTGAAGTCCGGACTTCTGGATGGCCAAGCAAAAATGATTACATGGCCAATCCAACGATTTGGAAAAACTGCATCTAAATATGCACTCACTGGCCAAGAAAAATGCGGTGGAGCTCCGTCATGCATGAACCACGTGTCTCTTCTTAAATAAAGTGGAACTTCTTCAAGCCGTGGAAGCATTTTTACTTGGCCACCCAGAAGTCCGGACTTAAATCCTCTTCATTTTTCTATTTGGAAGAATTTATTGCTTGTGAGAATTTATAGTGTGAATAGTTGTGGAAAAGAATACAAATCGCTGCCAACGAAGTCAAACGCAATCCCAATATGTTGTTTCAAACTCGAAGATCTCTTAGAAAACGTTGTGTAAAGTGTGTAAATGTCAACGGTGGATTCTTCGAACATTGACTTTAAATCATTATTACGAATTTCATTTGTTTTAATGTTAATTGTTGTAATAACACGAAGAAACACTTGGTTTCTTTCGCTTTTAATTTCTCGTATTATCAAAACATAGTGTTCGTTAAATCGTTTTTTCTCGAAAACGGATCGAGATACCGAATTGAAACAAGAGTACACAATTAATGGAAAAATGATTGCTCTTTCAGGTTTTGAATCAAGTTTCATGTTAAACAAACAGAGTAAAAAGTTATTAACTAAATTTTCGGTAAAATTGGTCGTAAGTGTCGCCCTCTACGAGCAATGCTGAAATTACAACACGCATCTTATTCGTCGCCTAAAAAAATATAGTTTCACAAATTTTCATATTCCTAACCTACATATTTTCAGAATAATCGCAAAAAAAAACGATTTAAAATTTTAACTTTCAACACCCTGTATTTCCGAAACTATCAACTTTCGGATAAGGCATGTTTGCGCCAATGGTCACCATTTCACGTGTAGTATCTTCATCTTTCGACTTTCCCATTGTTAATGAATCACCCTGTATATATTTTTTTAAATCTCCTTTAAAAAATGTAATCTTCCTTTTCAGAGAAGTAGATATATTTTTTAATTTATAATAAAAAAGTTATAACTTTTATCCTGGAAGCCCTTAATTTTTAATAACTGTTTTACACTGACAATTTATTGATGAACAAATTGACGAAGTTCTTCATAAATTAATTCACGAATTTATTGGCAAACAGTGTGGTTTTACACTGCTACAGACTTTGTCAAGTTTTTTGACGTATGAATCAGTTCTACCAATGAATCAAAGAAGCAAATAAATTTCAAAAATGTCACCTTTCCACTCATAATTGTAGTGATACAACAGCGGTACCGTTCTGACACATATTATATAAATATTAGTTTTTGTAAGTAACAAATCAGTAAAAACAATGCAAAACTAGTACGACGCCACACAATTATTTACATATTCCAATAACATAACCTCATTACTGATCTGAGGCTGGAAATCTGTTGGGTTGGTACTTCCGAACTTCACGAAGAAATTGACGAAAATTAGAACATGCTCTAATTCGTCAAGAACTTGATGAATAAATTCATGAAGTTATTTGACAGCTGATTTGGTGCATTACACTTGTCCAATTTCTTGATGAAGCGACTTCATGAATTAATTGATCAATAAATTGTCAATGTAAAACAGCTATAAGAAAGGCAGTGGTGGCTAAACAGGTTTAACATTTCACTGAAGATCCTGAGATATAACCAATTCCTGTTAAATAACATTCTACATATGTTACATTTCACGTGGTGGTAGAAATTGCAAATAAATTGATAAATAGTTGATTGATTTATCGCTAACGATCTCGTTTTATTATGAAGTTTAAGAAATTACAAAAAGGTTCAAATTGAGTCATCAATTCATAATATATTTTAGCAAAAAAAATATTTAAAATATCTTTCTCACTTCAATGTGATAGAAATGCCGAATTAAATAAAAAAGTAATGACAGTCGCCATAAATAAATAATTATATATGCTGAAAATAAAAAAAAACAAAGTTACAGTATATTATTTTAGGGCAAGAACAAGAAGCCGTACCAAGATTAGATGGTAGAATCGTAGGTGGCGAAGATGCAGATATTGCAAATCACCCGCACCAAATATCACTCCTGCTAATGAGTGTTCATATTTGTGGTGGTGCTATTATTTCTGACAGATGGGTTCTTACAGCTGCACATTGTGTCGTTCTGTAAGTTGCTTAATCATTTAATCATTTTTCATTCCTCGACATAGGTATCTCATAAATCTTTAGAGATACGAAGTAGGTTAGATTAGAAAAATATTGAGTCTTATACATTTAAAGGCAAAACAAACCATTAAAATTTTGTCTGGGGAATATCAATTTTTATGTCAAGATAGCCAAATTTAAATTTTTATTATGCGAGATAGAGATGTTATGTAATAATTCTTGAAACAAGAATTTTAGAATTTTTCTCAACAGGAGAATGTCAATTCAAGTATGAATATTTTTAAAAGGATAATTAAAAAATATTTATTTGCAGGAACATATTTCAATTTTATAGGGATCTTATAATTCAATACATTTTTATAGTTTTTATCTCTCCCTATGACACTGTTATCAGTAATAAACAATTATTTTATTATCTTGTTCTATTTTTCGGATGTCACACTAACTGTTTGCTTTGTTTAAATAAATTATTGGAGGTTTATTTCAAATAAATAATTTGGGAATTATTAGATATATAGGACGTGACAGCAATGTTGTGACAAACATTCAACGTCGATTCATTTTGTCAAAACATACCTACTAAAAATATTTATCACCATTATAAGGTTTACTAACTAGGTCACTAACTGGGCCGGCCAAATTGTCGAAAATACTTCGTCTTTTCGCCAAAATTTAGTTCATTAAACAAGACACGTAAAAATTAGGAAAAATTCCGTAGAATTGGCCTACTGTTTTGACCTACCAGCTGAATGTTAGGGCTACATTTTCAAAATGGCGTCCCAAAAACAGTTTTTTTTTTTCATTTAAAAAAAAACTAAGCATTTTAGAAAAAAATGTTTTAGACAAAAGTTGTAGAAGTTCTACAACTTTTTATAATAAAAATTTGAACCCAGCTCGATATCAGTGGATAAACAAATGTATTAGTTATTGCAAAAGACTAAAAATTGCATTTTTTTAAGCTTCTATATCTTTAAAATTAAAAAAGATTTTTTAAAACTTTCGGATTAAACAAGAAATACCTAAGAATCTCGTTTCTAATGCAATCGGCACATTATTCTTACTTTTTATTTCTTTATAAAAGTTACACTGTCACTATGGTGAAATTATACAAAATAAAAACTTTTGTCTGGAATCTTTCAATTTTTAACACAGATGGGTCGATGGATGATGCTTAATATTTAATAATTAATGAATAATGAATTCAATACAAATACAAAATCAGTCGACTGCACAAATTTTTTAACAATGTAACCTAACCTTCTTTTAGTATTACTAGTATTAGATTATACCGACTTAAATTATAAGGTTGCATCTTGGGTTGCATAAAAACATTTCCAAAGTTTTTAATAAATAACACAGGGTCGGCCTTCATTTTTGTTGACTAAATGAACTTTAATTTACAAAAAAACGCGAAAATAAAACTTTTTCGTATAGGAGTTTTCTATTACAAATATCATCAGGAAGCTGTAGTTTAATTTTTTATAGATTATACACGTTACACCCTGTATAGTCAATTAAAATAAGTGCATTTTTGTAAAATTGCAAAATATTTGGCAGTGATTTATTTTCAAGTTACACTTATGTGAGCCATCTCCATTTTTAGCTTGAAATATTCTCTAACAGTTGTACCCAATTTTTGTAAAAAAGTCTTTTTTCGTTTTAAAGATATAGAAGCTTAAAAAAATGCTATTTTTAGCCGTTTTTTGTAACTACTCGTAATACACTTGTTTATCAATGGACATCGGGCTGGTCTCAACATTTTTTTATAAAAAGTTTTACAACTTTTGCCTAAAACATTTTTAGTTTTTTTTAATGAAAAAAAAAACACAAACTGTTTCTGCTATCTTTGGTCGCCATATTCAGCTGGAGTATAGTAGTTTTGATACGTAAAAATATAATTTTATTGGACTAAAACCTTTGCCTGCGTTTTTAATACGTGGTAAAAGTTAATGACATTATGACTGAATCACCCTGTATAAGAGTAACTCCTTTTGCTCTAAATTCTCAACGGACAAAGTTAGAGTAATTATGTGAAAAGTAAATGTGATTAAGAAACACTTCCTTTTAAAGTTTAAAACTCATTAAACTCCATGCTGCTGTTGTTTTTATTCAAATTTTGTTGCTACTATGAGGAATGTAAAGCGTACCAAATTTAATTTATTTAAATCACATTCTCATAAGTAAGCTTCTAGAAATATTCGTAAATATGTAACAAATTATTTCGCAACATAAGTTGTTTCCGATTATTTTCGAAAAATATCTATAAACCTTATAGACCGGGAGAAATTAGACTGAAGTTCGACGACGTCTTTCTCGTTTATGCCTCTGAGAGTACTGAAAGGTAACCGAGAGACAAGTACAATAAACTAAATTTAACAGATGGGCTGCGAGACACCATTGTGAAAATTCGATTTTCCTTTTCAAAAAAATAATGTGTACAGCGAAGGTATTTCTCACTTATGCCTTGTTCATAAGTTGAAGAGAAGTATCGATTTTATCACAAAATATTTTTGGCGTAAGTGTCGCAAGGGACCTAAAAATGGAAAACTTTGTAAGAAAATGTGAAAAACATCTTTATTTGTCTATCAATTTCTCATTAATGCCAATTAGAAATATGACATTATTATATTCGAAAAGTTCATAGAAAACATTGGCATAAGTCTTACTAAGGACTAAAGAAAATAGAGCTTTGGAAAAGCTGCGGAAAATTTTTATTTTCATTCTATAACTTTCTCATTTATGCCGTTGAAAATGTATGATACTTACTATATATAATGACTGTGCCAAGTAGGCATAACTCCTCTGTGGGTTCCAATATGAAGGAATAGGTCCCAAAGTTGTAGGAAAATTCATGAAAATTTTTACATTTTTCTCGCTTATGCCATTTTGCATGCACGTAGGAAACTACATTATAAAGTCATATAAATGTAGGCATAAGTCCACATTGGATTTTCATATTGTAAATTAATTTGAATTTTAATACGTCAGGTCGACAAAGTAGAAAAATAATAGAAATTTGCCACAATTTTCTCGTTTATGCTGTTTCGTACACGAGTAGAAAATATTATTAAAAGCCACTTTCAAGAGTGGCAATGCCACAAGGTACCGTCGTATGTAAATTTTTTTTATAAAATTGTCAAAAATTACAAGTTGCGGTTATTTCCTCGCCTGCGCAATTTTCGATATACTTAAATTAATTTATAAAATGTATCATAAATAATGCAAGTCTCGGAGAAGATATCTAAGTATATAAAAAATGAATATTTCTAACTATAAAAGAGAATAAAAAATTTAAAATAAAAAAAATTACATGAAAAAGAGAAAGATAATTCTTAATAACTTATAATAAACTGTTTGAAATTTGAAAATATGAAAAATCATAAAACCGAAAAAACTTATATTTTTGATATGCTTTAATTTTAAGTTAATAAAAATTTGTATTATTTTAAGTGTTATTGTTTGTGTTAATTATTATAATTAAAAATTAGTAATTCAAAGTCTTTGAGGAAGTATTCTGACAATTGAGTTGGCAGCGGTTTTTCAATTCAATTACTATTAAATTGAAGGAATTAGTGATGTACTTATACATGGTTAAGTCAGATATTTTATACATTCGAAAACTGATATATTTTTACAAATATTTAACAAAAAATAAATTTTATACAGTCTATGTAGGGTTGCCAGATCTATTTCATGACAGACCCGGAGAAATTGATGTCCAAAAAAAAAAGGTCTTTAGGAAATTTTGAAGTCAAATCGTTTACGAGGAAATCGATCTCTAAAAAAAAAAAGGTCTACAGCAGCTCAATGGACAAAACAATCAGACCTCTCAGGGAAATACATTTCGGGGGTACGACGTCTTAACCCGGAGAAATGACATATTAACCCGGAACCCGGAGATGTACCATCAAAACCCGAAGACTCCGGGTCAAACCCGGAAACCTGGCAAGCCTAAGTCTATGCTCGAGCTAATCCACAGAGCTAGTCTGTCTGTATACCCTTGCTTGACAGAAATCTGGGATTATTCCGAAATCATAGTTCATACACGCCACATGGTGGCCACCAAGAAAGAGCGCGTAACAAAGAAAAATTTTTACAGTAGCTAATAGATACCTCTGTTTGTAAATCTAGTGACCTTGTTTCCCCTACTGAGAAGTTATTCAAATGGAGTATTTATAGTGTTCAGCTGCATTTAAAGTTCATTTAGTTGTTATTTGAGTATGCTTTTTAAAATGACTTAAAAATCCCAAGAAATAAAACAAAATTCCCTATTTCCCCAATTCCAAAAAAAATCTGTAGATCTGGCATCACTCTTTCTAGGGCTGCGCCTCACCTTAGAGAAATTGTGCTGCCCTCTGTTAATGGATTGTATTAACATATCGGAATACCGGAGTCGGAATTGTATAAGTAGTGACATCTATTAAAGAAAAGACAAATGACGAAAACAAAGATAACCCCCGGTCGCTGAATTACAAGTGGAAGCGGATCTTATTTGTGGAAGGACGAAACGGGCGGTAACTATTAGACACCTTCATTATAGCCATCCTTCTCTATCGCACGGATTTCTATGACTTACTTTATCAATATTAGCAATATTATATAATTTTTCTTTTTCTGATCATGACTCAAAAAATTATTAAAAATCATTTCTAATATGTGGGGACTTATGCCGAAATAGTTTATTATTAACTTTCATTAAATACATGAATTACTTATATTTATAAAATTAAAAATACGCTAAATGCAAGTAAGTATAAGTATTTCGAAAACTGCGCAGGCGATGAAATAAACTTTTTAAAAATTTTTACATACGACGGTACCTTGTGGCATTCATGCCACTCTTGAAAATGGCTTTTAGTAATATTTTCTAATCGTGTACGAAATGGCATAAACGAGAAAATTGTGGCAATTTTCTATTATTTTTCTACTTTCTCGACCTGACTCGTATTAAAATTCAAATTAATTTACAACATGAAAATCCAATGTAGACTTATGCCTACATTT